GCATCAGATCACCAAAGAAAATAAAAATCTGTCAAAAGAAGGGAAAGCCAGTTGGTTGACTTCCCCAGCACAGCTCACCTGGCTGCCAGTATGGGTTTCTAAAACTTGCCTGTCTGGGTGGGAGCAGCAGCCTGAGGTCCCTGGTGTTCTCCTGCTCCAAGCAGAGCTTGCAGGACAGAAAGAACTATGGTGATTTGGGGCAGGCTGGCATCCGTGTTGTAGACCCAATTTCTAGGAGGGACTATAATCTGTTGTAAAGCCACCATCTTCACTTTTGTTCCATGACAGTGCTTGCTGAGAAGGTGAACACGATGTCCCTCACAGTGCTGGGACTACGAATGCTGTTTGCTAAGAGCATTGCCATCAATTTTCTCTTGACTGCCAAGTTATTTTTCTTCTAAGGTAAGAATTAGCTGCTTCTTATTCCCACCTCCACCCAAGTTATACTGTACGTAGGAGAAAGAGCTTTAGACATGGCAAGAAACCAAGAAGCCCTGGGAACGGAATAACACATAGAGACGTACTTAAAATTAATAAGGCCGGCCATCTCAGTCACTCAGTATAACATCCCTTCTCCTGTTATCCTTTTATTTTAATCCAGACTCAAAACCTGTTATATATTATAAGGTATTTTTTTTTCCTAATATGCCAGCCAATAACTACCACTTCCACTCCTAGGAGAAAATCAAGACTAAATAAGGAGAATTAGTCTTTTTAACATTATTTTGTTTATTCAGCCAAGGGATCATGGGTTATTTGCAAGGCCATAAGTAGAGCTCCTTCACCTAAAGAACATTCAGGGGTGAACATGCACCCCCATTAGTAGTGAAAAGTCACTGTTAGCTACCCAGCATTCACACAAAGTCAAGGCTGTGACATTAATTATTTGCCTCTTACTTGCATCCATTTTCAGGCAATCTAGTACATGTTCAAACCTGGGACTAGGCTTGAAGCTCCCATCTCTCATTCTTTTTCCAATAATCCAAATATTCACCAGTCCCAGCTCCTATTCTAGGAACAACCCTAGACCTAGAGTGTTGGGCTGTTCTGCCCCAAACAGTAAACATACCCAGTTATTATCAAATGGTTGTGCAGCCCCACCTGCCACTTTACTAACAGTCCCAGGACCACAGGCAGCAAGGGTATATAAGTAGTGCTATTCTAGGAGTCAGAAGACCTGAGTTTTAGTCCTACCTTTGTCACTAACCCACTGCATTACGTTAGCTAGGTTCCTTCCCCTCTGTGGACCCAGGTTTTAAGAATGACTGCAAGATAGCAAATGGGTTTCAGGACTATACTGAGTAGCTGGACTATTGCTGTGTGTAGAAAAGTTATGTGGCATGCAATCTATTAGCAATGTCTGCAGTGATACAGCAAATAGCCTCCATCCCCAGGTAATCAGTCCTATAACTCCTTCCAGACTCACTGACTGTGGTTCTATAACAACTTTCCTTCACTTGCAGGCTGACTGGCACGAGGAAGCTGCACTCCCAGGAGGAAACCAAAAGCTTGCGAAGACACTGTCTCCTAGGCTTCAGCCTTATTTAAACAGCTGCTAATCAAACCAATTTCCCGTTAAAGGCAACAACCCCACTTCATTCTTAGCCTGGTAGAAAACAAAAGTCCTGGGAATCGGAGTTTATGGTCCTAACTATTTTACATGCTGCTTTATACAGTGACGGAAAGATATAAAAAATATATAGGACCTATTTTATTTTACTCCTACACCTGATACACTTTGAAAATGATCTTTCATTCCATTTTTACTTTCTTTAATTCAACAAATAGAAAGAGGGGAGCAACAGGTCACCAAGTCCATTCCCCATGAGGAAAATAGGCCAGGAGGAGGAAAACTGGTGTCCCTTTACCTACACAGGGAAGGCTCTGCTCAGCCCAGCACTAGATTTGTCCCAAACCAGCATCCTTGTGTTCCTCTCCTGTGGTTTACCCCACCCTCTATATTCACACTAGAGATTTGACATGGCAGTAAGGGGTGGAGGGCCAATTTCAGCACTTTCTGCTTTTCCTGGTACTTTACATTTGACTTCCCTAATACTCTCTAAGCAGGCAATGAGGTTTTAAATTCTCATCTAAATACTCTCCATTCTATTAGCAAAGATTAGAGTAAAATACAAAGGAAAGGCACTTCTTTCTGTTAACTGATTTAACATACATGGACTGACTCCCTCTAAGTCTCAAGCACTGTAGTGAGAGAAGATGAATAAGATATGGGCCCTGCTTTCAAGCAATTCATTATGCAAGTGTGTTTGGAGTGAGGGATAGAAGTGAGACCTCTATTTTCCCTGTTTAACGATATATATATATATATATAAAATCTTCTGCCTGTCAATCTATACCCAGGGAGTTTGAGATCATCGGACACTGATTCTTTTGCATGGGCCTTTAATGTTGCTGGTTTTCTGCCTTTCTTCTTAGCCCTCATCTCAGTTGCATTTATTAAACAGCATCATGTGCCACCTCGCCTCTGGCTTTATTCATTGCAGACCTCTGTGGGGGGAAAGTCAGATCTTTAAACTCACTATTAGTCAGCCAAAAGCCAAACTGCACTTACAGGTCACACCACAGCTTCCTGGGCCCCAAGCCCGAGGCTGATGCCTGGGGAATTCAGCCCTGAGTTTCCTGCTGCTGCAGCAGCTGCTGTTAGAGCAATAACAATAGCTGAGCCCTCAGTGTGGCATTTAGCCCTGCATCTCCCACCTCAGCAGGTCACAGCTTTGTCCACGTGCACAAGCTCAGGTAGCAGAGCCCTAGCAACACAGTACTGTGGTTCCCTCCTCTCGTATGTGTGTGTGGAGTGCCAAGCAAGCAGTATGCCTCTCCAAGAGAGTTAACTTCACCAATAACTGCCCCTGCAATCACCAACTGCAGACTCCCACATGAAGTCTTCACAACCCAAAGGAAAGGAGGCTAAGAAACACACTAAGAAACAATAGGCTCAGGATACCTAGATGGATACGCCAGGTCCAGGGAAAAACAAAAGATTCCATGCAACTTCTCCCTATATATATAAAGAATGCCTGTTTCCAAAGCATTCACTCTTGTTACCTTGTATAACATGAGAATATTTCTCTGAAGTTGCTAGGAATGAAAACGGTATCCTCATTTTACAGACGAAAAAAAATGTCCCCTCAAAGAAGTCATTCAGTGAGGCAGGGATACAGCTGGGAGCACAACCAAGACCTCAAGACTGTTAGTCCAAAATTTCTGCACATTGTATCCCAAAATGAGAAAGAAATCATTCTGAATATCAGTTACACTGCACTTTAGGACAGTCCTATAGTCTCCATCCTTTAGCCTATGCACCAGAAAAAATAAAATTTAAAAAAATTTAAAAATAAAAAATAGTACATCACAGGACCATGGAATTTTTTCCACTTGAAGGAGCCTCAAGTAAAGATTTAAGGTCAGGCATTATGGTGCATGCCTGTAATCCCAGCAATTTAAGAGACTGAGACAGGAGGATCACAAGTTTGAGGCTAGCCTTGGCAACTTAGCAAGATCCTGTCTCAAAATTAAAAAGAAATAAAAAAGACTGGGGAATATAGCTCAGTGGCAAAGTGCCACTAAGTTCAATCCCAGTATCATAAAGAAAAAAGAAGAGATTTAAGGAAAGAGCCAAGGAACATTTGTTTGCCTTCAGATCTGGGGCCACTATGTATGCTGGTCGAGTGATGCACTCAGTAGGCAGCAGAAAAGAAGCCCCAGGAGATGAACTACTTGCCCAAGGCCTGTGCCTCCCTCACCCCATGCTCTTTCCATTGTTCCATATAGTGGTTACTCTCTGCCCACTATCTTCTAAGAGCCAGATAAACTGCTGCCCAAACTGCCCACTGCTAAAGCCTCCTGGGGTGCACCACAGGAGACAGCCCTAGACGGGCACCACAGCATCCCTGCCTGTTAGTAACCAGCTATAAGGCACTGGGAATATTTGTCCCCCACCTCTCTAGACTTAGAGTATTTCCTGTAGAACAATGTCTGAGGTCTCTTCCATGTCTAGGATTATCTCTACTAACTCCAACAGTTCTTTTATGACAGAGAAGCCAATAGAAGTAGAGGGAGGAGGGACTGAGCCCCAGGGACTGAGGATATATCTATTTCAACACCAACAACTCAGTTTTTCCTGGAGAACATGATCTCTCATGGGCACAGCACTGAGCTCCAAACTCAAGGCCTTGGAAACTGGAATTCTGGGATTTGGAGAAAACTGTGTAGGAGAATCTGATGATCTTTATGAAAGAAAAAACATGTTCTCCAAATATGGTAAGTAAAATGGAGGTATCAGAAAATATCAAGGAGAAATAAGGTAACTAGATGAGGTGACAAGATGCAGAAAGAAGGGAAATCAAGAAAAAGTTTTTAAAGTAAATGAATTTTTCGTCCAATTTGATTCTTGAAGTGAAAACAGACCAATTCGTAATAATAAATCTAATGAGGGAGGTTAAAATAAAGTACTGCTGATGACCTCTCCTTAGACTGACTCTTTACCTGTGCCTTTCTGACCCTCCTCACAGCAAACACAGCACAGACTTGGGGACCCAAAGATAATGCTCCCTCAAGCCTGCAGCTCTCCCTTGCCAACACAAGTCACTCAGATGACAAAAGCCCACTGAAAAGAAGTGGAAGAAGCTCTGTTCCTCACAGGCCAGGGAGTTTCTGTGGATGTGATCAGGTTTTTTAACTGGTCAGTAGTCACTTTAGGACACCTCTAAAGACAAGGCTGGAACACAAAATGACCAGGAGAAGGATGCTAGCTCTAGGTCGTGCCCCCCCCCCCAAGAGGTAGCTCTGCAGAGTTGTTCCCCAGAGGTTTGTGTGCAGACTTCCTGGGCACCTGCATCACCGTGGGATTCACAGCACAATAGTAAGTGGCACTGTCTTCCAGACTCACTCGGGACACCACCAGGTGGAAAGTTTTCTGGGTCGGATTGTGCTTCACAAAAAATCGGCCTTGAGCAAAATCTGCATATTTAGATCTGGTGTTATCCTTATAAAGGATAAACTGAAAGGACCCCTCTGGCCTTTTTCGGTACCAGTACAAATCTGGATTTGAGAAGCTAACATCATAAGTGCAGAGCAACATCAGCTCCCTGCCACTTAACACCGTCTGGTCTTCAGAATTCTGGGTCACCTGATTACACAGCATGCCTTTGTCTGAAAAGAGAAGAAATGAGAAAAAATAGTGAATTCTGTACTTCCCACCACCAAGACCACTTAAAACCCCCAGCTCAGAGGAACCCAATGGGGAGAGATAAGAGAAAGACACAAATGAAGAGCAGAGGCAGAGAATGACTGCAAAACCAAGTTTCCAAGAGAAACAGACCAAGCCTTTGCAAGTCAGAGAAGGAGAAATGGGAGGCAGAACAAGACGAGCAGCAAAAAATGAAGCCACTTACAGAAAAACAAAAGGCTAAAGCCCACAATAAGAATCATCTTTTTTTCATGTCAGGGCAGAACATGTAGAGTAAACCAGGGTTCCTGAAATCTCTAAGACCATCGTAAGGTTTTTGGCAGGAAGGGGCTGGGAAGCAGGCAGCCCTGAGGTCACATGACTCAATGATTCTGTAGCTCTGAGGCAGATGCCCCCACCAGGGGAACTGGCAGTTGATGATGTAGGTCCCCCTCCAACCTGAACCAATTTTTGACAACAAAAATGAGTTACTTTAAGATATGAAGGGAAAAGGAGAGAGAGAGAGAGAGAAAGGAAGAGAAAAAGAGGGAGGGAGGAAGGAGAAAGAGGAAAGAGAGAAACTGCAAATTCAGTGATCACATGCTTGGATATCCCATTGCTATAAAAGTAATTTATACTCCATTTCTGCATCTTCTGGTCACAGACTGGTACATCGGTCCACAAATCACACTTTGAGCAGCTCGTTTCACAGTACCTGGCACAGCAGTGAACACTTTGTAGAACTCAATAAATGAAACAAATGAGTGCCTTTGTAATACTCAGGAAATGGAATAAATAAATAATTCCCTGATTCCCTTGTGTAAAGAGGGAGAGAAGAGGATTGGACAAGATTGTTTCTAACATCTGTCCTAGCCTTGGAAAGCTTTGACTGAGGTGCCTGGAGTAGTGCCCTGATCCTGAGAGCCCTTTGGCAGCTCACACTTGGCTCCAGCTGGAAAATTCTCCCCACAGCAGAGCTTCCTGGTGGGGGACCCGTCATAAGCAGGTTACAAGCTCATAGTGGCTATGGGCCTGGAGTGGCTTGAGCCCCTGAGCTTGCCCCTTGTGGCCATATGCCACACAAATTATGGCTCAACATTTGGAAAGCACTGCTCTAGAAAAGAAAATCCTCACTCCCCAAAACCTAGGAGTATTCCTAGGAGTCTCTGTAAGAGTTCCTTTGTCTCCCTTTTTCCCCCTATAGTCAACTCTTCAGTAAGACTTTGCAGTCCCACCATAAAAATATCTCTCCAGGCAATCTGCTTCTCCCATCTCCACAGCCACCACCTCCTGCAACCATCATCATCTCTTATGGGGACTGTGATAACAACTCCCTAACTGGTTCCCTTATTTCTGCTCTTGTCCCTGGGTAATCCATTCTCCGAGTCTTTATAAATTGCAAACCCATGACGCCAGCTGGCCTTCTTTTCCTGGACCTCTACAACCTGCAAAGATCTAGCCCCTGCCTGCTCTCCAGCCTTGCCCACAGCTGCTCCTTGCTCTCACTCCCCTTCAGCCGTGGTGGCCTTCCTTCTGGTCCTCTTCGGGTTCACCTCTCTAGCTAAATCTCTGGTCCCAATTTTTCTCAAATATCAGCTCAAAGAGGCTCCACCAGTTGCTCAAGTAAATTAGCTGCCTGCCCCACCATCATCACCCTCAATTACATCTCTGTTCATATTTTCCCCACACATCCAAAATAATCAAATATTTATATATTTATTATTTCCTTCTTCCATTACATTCACACCATAATATAAGCTTCATAAAGATAAAGACCTTGTTTAGGTTTTCACTGACATGTAGATAGCCTCAGCCCCCAGGCTTGTGTCTGCCACATAATAGACAGTCAATAAATATTTTTGCGATAAAGGAATACAACTTTATCCAC